TTTTCCGTTTTTATATCCAAAAAACTAAAAAGCGTTCGTGGCAGATTCAAAATGAAAAACGGGCGGTTTTTTTTGTATAATAAAAAACCGTTTTCTGGTTTTTGTCGGGTTTTATATACCCGGTAAATTTGGGTTCCGTTTTTTATTTTTGATAAAAAACCGCCCGTTTTTCATTTTGCATCTGTCACGAACGCTTTTTAGTTTTTTGGATATAAAAAACGGAAAAGCGTTTTTTAAAACGCTTATTGGTCTCAATAAACCCTTTTTGATAGTTTATTAATCTACGACTATTTTTTACAGTGTACAAAATACAAAACTAGGCTCATTATTCTTCTATTCCAATAAATAAGTCTTCGAGGAAATGTCGTGTCACGGAAATTTTCTATTGATAGCAACCTACGGCCTCTCTCGCGTGCACTAGAAAACTATTACATGAACTGAAAGAGTGACTTATGAGCGAAAGAAAAAGAGCATGCGTCTAGTGAAATTCTCACTCTCGATCGCATCAATACTTTCTACTACGCATTTGAGTAATTTTCTTCAGTCGTCAACATCTTCATGGCATCATCACAACCACCAGAACGTCGAGGACGTAGTAGTCGACTATATGCTCCTTCGAGCGATCCCTCACCTCGTTTTACTACTACTAGCACCGATATTTCAGCAACAACATCGCCTTTAACAACTGATACTACAGTAGTAGATATGATACAGGCTTCTCATCAGCATCGAGTGTACCACAATCATCATCGACAACCCGAACCCATGCTAGTGATGGTTGAGGTCAGGGTAGAAAAATGATGAATTCATTTGGCTCCCCTGAAGGGAAGAGTTTTTCTTTCAGCAAAACATTTAAAAATCCGCCAATATTTTCAGTAAAGTGTAGAGAAAATTACACTTTTAGATATAGTCGGAAATGGTCTATGAAATAACGTACGACTCAAAACCTTTTTATTTTTAACTTTTTTTCAATCGACTTTTTTCGTGAACAGTACAATGGCTATGCAATTCACTCACATATTCGTATTCAGTTTGGCGAGCTCTATTTAACTATGTATAAATACTGAAAAAAACTCTACAATATGACGTAGATGAATTACTTGTAAATTATGGTTAAGTAAATTACAAAAGTGGTTCTATTGTTGCGTTGTTCAGGGTAAACATAGTTTTAGAAGAAGGGTGATTGGAATAGGCATGCACTGGTTACGGTTAATGAAAACCGATCATAATCGAAAATGTTGCTCAAGTTCTTCAAAGTACGTTTGACACAGTATAAAGGAAGCGACTGTTGTTCAATCAACAATTATTCATCCCGGAAGAAAAGATGCACGGTGTACAAAATCAGAATAAGTCAAATAAGTGGTATTTCTAATTTTTCACTCTGAAGGAAGAATATCTCGAAATTGCGTTTCGCAACAAAAGTATGGCAAACTTAATTTTCTAGATTCTGTCTGGTGGGCGCACATTTATACAAATCGATCTTCACGATGAAAACTGATACTGCTTTTGCGAAATCGATTAAAACAGTCTTATCTAAAAAGCCGATCTTACAAAGTTTCGAGTGTTTATCTGCTTTTCCAAAGATGCAACTCTCTATCCGTTTCTAGGCAAATAGAATTTGAAAAGTAACCAAGTCCTTTTTAACTTATTAAATAAATTTTGAACAGATGAATTTACTATTAAATTGTTTTGACCTTTCGAGAATAAAATTCTCATTTGCAAGAAGAAAACATGCGTAGACGAAACAAGTGTCTTACATACAGTTAGAAATTGCACATATGGATGTACATCTAATATGTAAAACTAGTATGAATACAAAATAGAAAGTAACAGACTTATTCTTGAATTATAGTAGTAAAAAGAAAGAGATAGATATGAATACATACATGTATAAATATAGTAATAGTGAACTATACAGCCTAGAAAGACTAAAGAAAAGGACTACAGATAGAAAATAATGTTAGCCGGCTCTTATTTTATTCATTTTGTTCGCAGAGGTATTGAGAAATGGCTGATTTTCTAATCATCTTTCACTACAAAAACCCAAAAGAAGTTCAATTATTTGGTAGGTGCACACCTTCTCACGCACTAACTTTCAAACTACCGGCGCTATTTTGAAAAACATTTTGCGGGACCACGGGATCGGGACGAAAATGTTTTTCTTCATGGCACCGAGACCAAAAAAGTTTGGTCCCGCAGATCTCTAGCGATGGTTGCAAATATAACGTACAAGGTCGTAGCAAATATAGAATTAGGGATAGTCAATGTTGCTGACTCCGAATATTGGTGTGGTGATGGCAGCTAGGATCTTGTCTTAAGATCCGTTTTTCGGGAAAACTAATTTTGTTTTGCTAGTTGAATATATTTCACCTATATTATTTAATATAAATAACTTCAGTTTCGTTTATATTTCTATTTACAATATTTAATGATTTTTCATAATAATTTAATACCAGTTCATAATTCCCTTTTTGTTTATGTAAGCATTCTATATTATTATAGATAGCTGATAAAATATTGGATGATGGTATTTCTTGTTGTTATTTTAATAATATTTCATAATATTTTAGTGCTTTATCAAATTCACCCATATGATCAAAACATTTTCAATTATTAATAAATTGGCTGTTTCATTCATTTCATTTTTAACTATATAATTCATTAAGTTATTAATATGTTTATCTTTTTGTTCACTAAATAAAAGTTTCATCTGCCATATATGATGATGATCAATATTTAATTTATCAACAGATACAATACGAAATATAGAACCCGTATCTAATAATATTTCATTTTCACCTTTCATATAACTAAATTTTGATATATCAGCATATGATTTTGTTGTTAGAGAATGTTGAATAGGAATATCCATTTGAAATAGAATAAATTTTAGATAATTTTGCTCATTAATAGGCCTGCAGAATTCACGTTTCGTTCCTTGAACGTGAACTTTATTTATACTAACGTTCGTACTACTAAAGTTCGTATTGTCTGAGGTAAATGTAAGATTCTGTGTATAACGGTATTGTTAGCGGACTCCTCTGTCAGTGCTAACCATATGCGCAGTTATATTTGTTGTTTCTTTCCTTATGCTATTTCTTTTTATTTCATCGTCACTTAGTCACTCTTGTACTGACTATTGTCCTGTATATTAGTCCACCGCCCTCTTCTTACTTACTATGGGTTTTCACTAGGTTTCTGGAACTTATTTGCAAAACAAATATCGTCATGAGATTCAGCGTGGTAGATTACCCATGTTTCCATTCGTTTTCGGAGTTACTACACCTAAGGAAACATTGATCCTGAGACTCTCAGGAAATACGATGCCACGCCTGAACCGAAAAAAATTAAAAGTTCACTTAATTCTCAGTTTGGAGAAGACACTTTAGACTATCTATCTGTAACAAGATGTCAAGAGATTTCAATGTCCGTTTCTTGAGATCTGAGTTGATTTTTCAAAGGCCTTCAGAAAAATCGGTCTTTCAAATAACTCCGGAAAGGGGTTTTGCTTATAGAAATATAGCTTTAGATGTCCTCTTCTGACTTCTGAAAACTACAAGTTTCTATCATTTGTCATCTTTGAGTTATTCGTAAAACAACCGAGCGCCTAGTATTTTGGCGCCTATAGTAGTATGTAATAAAAACAAATCAAAACCCTGTTTACGTTTGGAGAATAAAATTAACTTATGCGTACGTTAGCCTTAAAGTAATTTTCATTTCATGCAAGATGAACATCGTCAGTATAAAATAAAGTTCACGTTCAAGGAACGTCGACGTGCTTTAACGTTCATGTTCAGAGAGAACGCTAAAAAGGAACGCTGAACTTTTGCAGGCTTACTCATTAATGCTAATATCATCATCATTATCACCATCACCAGCAAATATTAATGCAACATCTTTATTTGTCGTTGTTGATAGAAATGTATTCATTGATATTAAATTGCGTATATTTAATTTAAATTTTTCCAATTCATTTATATGTACAAATTGTCCACGATACACCGTCAACATTGTTGCTGGTGATAATAAAAAGAAATAGCATAAGGAAAGAAACAACAAATATAACTGCGCATATGGTTAGCAGTGACAGAGGAGTCCACTACACTCTAAAAAAAAGTCGTAGATTAATAAACTACAATAAAAAAGTTTTTTAGTCAAAAAAACTATTTTATTGTAGTTTTTTAATCTACGACTTTTTTTTAGAGTGTAACAATAGCGTTATACACAGAATCTTACATTTACCTCAGACAATACGAACACCGTTAGTATAAATAAAGTTCACGTTCAAGGGACGAAGCGTGAATTTTGCAGGCCTATTAATGAGCAAAATTATCTAAAATTTGTTCTATTTCAAATGAATATTCCTGTTACTGAATATGTTTTTTTCTCTTGGAAAAAAGAACACGCGTTGCTCTTGTAAAAAAGGAAATTACAGTTGGCATCCCTGTAATTGAAAATCGGAAGAATCATTTTTTTCAGAATACTTTAACAAGTTAAAGACAACAGCCTTTTTTACAAGAGCAAGGCGTGTTCTTTTTTTCCAACAGAAAAAAACATATTCAGTAACAGTTACAAAATCAAATACGTCAAGCATTGCCTGTTTCCTTTGTGATTTTTTTAATCGCTCACGGATGAAAAACACTTAAAACAATAAATTGTGAAACATCAAAACAAAAACATACTACGTCAACTTGAATTCGTCCTATATGTGTGTATTTTTTTGATTACGTACTGCTTTTAATACATCTGGTTTAGATAGAATCTAATCATAAAACTGTTCATAATTAATATCAATCAAATATGTGACACAAATGTGTGAAAAACACTTAAAACAATAAACTGGGAAACAAATAAAAATAAAAATATACTACGTCCAATTGAATTCGTGGATTTTCTGCTATATGTGTGAAGTTTTTTTGATTACGTACTGCTTTTAATACATCTGGTTTAGATAGAATTTAATTATGAAACTGTTCGTAATTAATAAACCGATATATAGAAATTTTCTCGGATGCTTCAACACCAGTTATAAACTGGTGCATACCTAATTATAAAACCTTTCCCAAAAATGTTTTCTGAATAATATACGTTACAAACCCTGCATCAGTATCAACTTATCCACGCCTAGAAGCAACATGATGTAGACTATTGATCCATGCATGAAAAGCTTCAATCAAATGGTAAAAAGCTTGAACTTCTCCCATACGTTCCCGTGTGGGTCCATCTGGATCCCTGAGCAGCCATGAAGTCCAAAAATGAGAACAGCTGTCAAGGGTTAAAGGTAACTCTTTTAAAAATGTACCCGCTGTTTTGTTTGCATCCGGTAATTCTAAAATACACTAAAAATAAAAACGTCAGACAGATTAGAAGAGCAAGCAAAAACGATAATTAAGTGAAATTACTAATAGACATAACCGAAATTGTTCAAACTCTTCTTTTATTTATTGATGTGCACGTTTTGACTGGCAGCCATCATTATGTGGTAGACATCAAGTACTACCTATCTTGAAAAAAATCGCGGTTTCACCTCTTCTCGTTCACGAGAAGAGCGAAATGTACGTTTTTCACCCGCATAACCCAGACAGTCATAGTCATTCCAGAGAAGCGCAGGAAACTCTGTTTACGAAAAATTTTACGCGTTTAATATAATAACGCGAATAATAACGCGCAAGAAGCTGCGAGTGTGTAAAAATGGAAAAGGATTTTAGGAATTTTACAAGGTGAATAAGATAATTATGAGTTAGTATTAGAAAATTTTAATAAAGCTATTCGATTGATTGATTGATTTTTATTTCGACAACAGCCGTTTGGTCAGAAAGTACAAAAATCTAATAAATACAATTCAGGTTGTCAGGAAAGCAAAAAACGTTTTAGAAACCTATAAAAATTGCCACCTTTTATCCTATATATATATATTTTTTTCTTTCCCCGTTTCACAGTTGTCGCTGCTGCCTCAGTTTGGTTTCGAAAGATTTTATTGTTGACGAGATAACTACAGTGTTGGAGAGAGAGTTCCAATCGTGAGCTATCCTATACAGAAAAGATTGTAGAATAATTTCAGTGCGCGCAAATGGGATAAAAACTTGTCTATTATGCTGTAATAGACGTTCGGATCTTTTACTCACATCATACTGTATGAGATTGAATCGAGACAAGGATGATAAGCCGTTAAGGACTTTAAAAAAGTACACTAATCGAAAATACTTACCAGTGCGCCTAGTCGTTTTCTACAATTTAGTATAATATCTTCAACATGTTCGCGCAATCTCAGATTAGAACTGACTTTTAGGCCTAGGAGTATAAGAGAAGGTTGGTGTGTTATGGTTGTACCATCACTTAGTGTGAACTGTAAATTATTAGCTCTACTTGGTGTATTAGAGATAAACATCCACGCACACTTATTTGCGTTTAAAGACATCAGGTTGGAGGTACACCAGTTACAAATTTTCTTCTCGGTCAGCATTGATACCGAGTTGTAATTTCACTTTTAGTTCTTTCTTTTTGCTAATAAACACACACACACAGTTACAAATTTTCTCAATATTCTCTTGACATACCGTTGGCATATCAGACGAGGCCATTGGACAGTAGAGTATACAGTCATCAGCGAAAAGTATGCTATCTGCTGGCAATTGGACTACAGTTGGTAGTGCATTTATGAAGATAAGGAAAACTAAAGCACTAAGAACTGAACCTTGTACTACCCCGGAGAGCACTGGCGCAGGCGTAGATAAAGCAGCGTCAACGCGTACTTGCTGGGAGCGGTTAGTCAAATAACTAATAAACCATTTTAGCACATCCGATGACAAACCTAACAGCGCTAAACGCGAAAGAATAATTTGAGACGAAACTCATATTCAAATACATTCTGAATATCATCCAATGATCGCACAGGTCTATAACAATATTGGTAATATTTATATAAGAAAAGGTTTATATAAACAAGCTATGAACTAAACTTTCTATGAAGATGCATTAAAAATTCAGTTATATTGTTTAAATGGTGATCATTCCGATAATCTTGCTCAAACATATCAGAATCTAGGAACAGCTTATTATTATGATAATGGAATAGCTTATAAAATGATAATAAACAAGCTTTAATTTATTATAGAAAATCATATGAAATATATTTTTCAACAAAAAATGATAGTAGTTTGAAGATGGTAAAAGATCTTCTTTGTTGTGATAACGAAGAACGCATACTAGAATTAAATAATGATATTGAAAAATTAAGATTATTTTCCGAATCAATGCCAATACAGTATTTAAATTTAGCATCAATGTATGCCAACAATGCCTTAATATATAGTAACCAAAGTTATGACCGTCTCGCTATGATATATTGTCAAAAAGCATTACATATTTGTCAACAATTTGTACCATTCACTCATATACAAATTGCATTCACATATAATTTAATAGCAAGTATACATAATAAAATGAAAGCGTATAAAGCGTATGATATCTTTTAACTAACAATTTTGATCAACATTCAAGTTTAGGATTTGTCTATAAAGCTGAAGTGCTTGGAGAAACATCAAGTTACTCAAGAAAACAGATGAAGTTCCTTTGTAAGAACATCCAGTTTTCTCCGGAAAAAAGATGAAGTTCTTGTGGAGCAACATCAAGTTCTTGAGATAAGAACATCAGCTTGCTGTTACTCCACAACTTATCAAAGTATTAATATCTATTTTTATAGCAGAACTTCTTTTTTAACTTTTCCAGAGTAGGAGTTTAATTTTTCCTTTGAAGCATGTGTCTCCAAAATAGATACAGAATTTTGAGCTATTCAGGATTTGAATAATTTACACGTCTAAAACCTGTTTTGTCAAAGAGATAAGCACTCTTTGCAGAATCTACTAAGGCCAAAAATTCGTTTTTCTGACTTAATTAACATAAACTAAGCTTTATTTTGAATTTCGTTCAATAAAGCTTATAAAATCACGTAAAATAAAGCAATTTCTGCCTGAGATGAGTGGACGAAAATTGACCCTTCGATTTTAATCAGGAAAAATGCTCATGATATAATTACACATTATTTGAGAGTTAAAAACTTAAAAGTCTTCTATAAAATCCAGAAATCTCAGAAAGAAGGAACCAAAGAGCCTGTATTAGTTTTAATTTGTGGTCTTAATGTAGAGAGAACAACGTAAAAAGAAAAGTTTGTCACTCTCACTCAAATGAGATATAACTGTGTCTGTGATATACAAGGTATTTCTTATTTCCTTAATGTTACGTGCACATCATTCTATATTAAGACTGTCTGAATTTATTTTTCAAAGTAAAATTATCCCCAAAAAATCAACAATTTGCAGAATAGTAAGCGCACAACAGTTTTAGCGAGTAAGAATATACGGAGAAATTGGCAATAGATTGCGAAACGTGATGGAATTAATATTCTAATACCAGTGAGAAAACTCTTCAAAGAAAGAGGTTTCTTGATCCCGAAATTTTAGCTCTTTGACATTTTTCTAGCCAAGAAGTTCATACGTTGCACAAGAAACAAAATTTCTTAAGAAACGCCAAGAAACCTAAAAGAAAACTTGCCCTGCAAATTGTGAGGATTTTCTATAAAATATACAAGAACTTAGTCCATATAATGTATGATGCATGATCATGTCAAGTGGAGTAACTGCCCTTGTCACTTATCTGCTCAACCGATCAAATTTTTGAAAATTAAGGACTTACTATATTGCTTTAAAAGCGCTGAACACTTCATAAATTCTTCAAAATAACTAGCAATTTAGTGCTGATTGTTGATCTCAGTTTCAGTGCAACAACTTTTCGAATTTGGGGGTAAAATATTTCAGAAAGCAGGGAGGGGGTTCTTCCTGCCTACTCCTGTTATAGCAGCGTCCCTGTTTCATGATTTAGTGCTGCTGCAAGTACGATTAGAATGTTCTACTTTTCTTTATGTAAATGCTTTCTTAAATTGATAAAAATATTCGCTTCTTCTCTCCACACTTCAGTTCGTATTATTCGGTCGTTGCAGTAATTTCAATTTTTTTCTCAACTAAGAAATTACAGCAATTGCAACATTTCCACCCTATGGAAAACTCGGGATATAGTTTAAGAAAACAACGGAGAATAAATTACAAATGATAAAATCAAAAGTTCAGTCGTTGAGTGTGTTTCATCGGTGGTTTTTATAAATGTTATTTTATTGTATTCTAGGTTCAACATTACGTGTCTGTATACTTAAACAAAAGAACATTTCGTCTTGACATATAGGTCTTCTACTTGTCCGTTTTTGTGTTTCTTTCTTAGTCTTGTCCTTTTTAAATTCTGTAATCTTATATTAAGCAAGAGTTGTCTAGTCAGTGGAAAACTAATGTTTGTATCCACTGATGAAGATTGAACTAGTCAATCAAAACCTTTGGAAATAAATAAAGTTAGTACGAAGAAAAAGTATTTATTTATAATTAAATAACCTCATCTAACGTCGTATTGATAGCGACTTTTCAAAAATGACATTTAGTTTGTTTCTCACTTTGTATAAACTAATATCAAAGGTAATATTTGCTACAGGTGCCGTTTCGTTATATGTTGATATATCCTATAACTGCTATCTTAGTCTGATGGCCATCATGATGTAAATATAGTAAATTAATTGTGAGATAGTAGTTATATTATATATCTACATTGTTACTCATTTGTAATGGCATGGATAAATACTATTGCTACGAGAACATCGAAACGACACCTGTGGCAAATATTGACTTTGATATTAGTTTATACGAAGATACACAGAAAGTATATATCTTGTTATCTTATATAAGTGCGCGCAATTCAAAACTTAAGCAAAATTTATTTTTGCGGTATTGATACATGGTTGGATAGAGATCGTCGAGCTGAACAAGAATATGAGTGTTTTACCCTTTCGAATCAAACTTTTACTGTCGCAAATTTAACAAAAACTGAAAATTTTAAAATTTTAGAAAATGGCTTATTTTTTAAAAACGAACGTAAAACTGCACTCATGTTTTGCAGTTTTCACCATCAAATTTCAATTTTTTCTCAAAACCAACATCATGTTTGGAATCACCGTTAAAAACTGCATTGAACAATGTTTCTCTCGAAATTTTTAGACAACTTTGACTTTTGAGCAAAAATCTTGTCGAAAAAATTGGAACAAGCATATGAGTAGCACTATTAAGACCCTTTGAGTAGAAATAGTTAGCTCGTTCGAAAAGCATCAAGTCTCTCTAGATAAGAGATGAAGCTGAAATTTTTATATCATTCTAATCGCCATAATAGCACGAAAAAGGTTATGTGTCGGTTTTTGGAAAATATTGTTCCGATGTTGAGAAAATAAATTTTTGTGGAACAGGTAGCAGAAAACAAGGAAATTTACTTGTATTTTGCAGTTTTCATCGTCAAACTTCCATTTTCTTTGCATAAGCAATGTCTTACCTGGAATCAGCATCAAAAACTGAATTGATTGATGTATGTTTCAGGATTTGTGGACAACTTTCAGTTTCTCGAACTTTTCTACCGAGATTTTTGCAAGAAAATGGAAGTTTGACGATGAAAACTGCAAAATACAAGTAAATTTCCTTGTTTTCTGCTACCGGTTCCACAAAAATTTATTTTCTCAACATCGGAACAATATTTTCCAAAAACCGACACGTAACCTTTTTCGTGCTATTATGACGATTAGAATGATATAAAAATATCACCTTCATCTCCTATCTAGAGAGACTTGATGCTTTTTGCGCCAACATGAACGGGATTTTGGCTATTTGGCTATTGGTGAAAAACTGAAATTTTTTAGGTTATATCGTACTTGAACAGTATCGAAAATATCCTTTATCATCATCTTATCTATTACTTATCAATATGTATTATCTCTCTCATATTTTCATTTACATTTTTAATACAATTTTTGGGAGCATTGTCCCTTAGTTCTCCTACTATTCATATGACTCATCACTAACATTTTAAATTTCATCTCAAGCAGTTTTTATTAGCAGAAAAATAAAATAAAAAATACAATATTTACATTCAACCAAATTTCTCCATATGTCATATCTCGTTCTCCTTCTTGATCATTTGCTCACCATATGCATAGGATTCTTCTTTTCTCTGATTGTGAGTACATGAAAAGAAAGCCGAATAAACATTAGATATGTGTAGCCAGTTGTACTGTTTCATTTTTTTTATGTAATTTTCTGTACGAGGAACAACTTCAAAATGACCGTATCAGTAGGTCGAAATATCCAATTGTAATTTTAATTGTTGGTTTTATTTTTTATTTTTATTAAAACTTTTATTAAAATTCTTATCATGATACCCACAATTATTCGCAAAGATATAATCTATAGCCCACATTTTCTTCACCACTGTTCCCGTTACCACTAGATGGTTGGATTTCACTTTTTCAAATTGTCGGTCGTGTATTCACTACTGGCTAGTATTTACTTAGTATCTATGACTTGTCCACAGGAATTTTGACTACTGATTGATATCGGAGCAGATATTATCTAATTTCCAATTAAACAAATAAACATTCGTTCGCATGTGCATATAGAATTTCAATGAAAAAGTAATATTTTGTTACACATGCGCCGTTACTGACTTTGAGAAATCTGGTGTACATATTCATGGATATGTACAGCAGTAAGTCGTTTTGTAGTATTTAAAAAGCATATACCACTAAGCAATGAAAAACCGCAGAAATCTATTTAATATGTGAAAATATGTTTCAGATATTTATCAGATTTAGGCTTGTCGAAAACCTATACGCGTATCTTGATTCATGGAGAATACGTTATGAGTAATACTATAAAAAAAACTACTTTTTCACAAAAGTAGCTTCCAGAAAACTTTTTAGGACGGCGTAAATGACGTTATTACAGAAATCAAAAACAGGTCGACAAAAAGAAACTGTATTCCCTTTATTCATGTGCTTTTTTAAATCGATTTCTCGGAGAAGAAAAGAAGTCCTTCAATGATAAATGCAACACGATATTCGATAACGAACGATTTCTATTTCTTGTATGCTACAATTTATAGTATAATATAAGGTTACCTCAGTTTTGTAGATAATACTTGCAATTGTTTCTTGTGCTCCTTTTTGAAAGACATCTAGATGAAGATGGAAGGAGATCAGCTTGTTTCATGGCAACGTTTGTTACATACAGCAATACATGCCAAATAAAAGACAAGAAATGCACGCCATTATTTCACCGATTGTATTTTTTAATGAAACGAATCAATTACCGAACAAAGACAACGAAAATGGTTTTCAATTAGTTTGTTTGGTTTCGCTTACACTGTCATATATTTCTCTATGTGATAAAGGTTGCCAAGAAATACAAAAACAAAGAGAGAGAGCTTCTATCAACAAGATTTGACTGCTTTTAAAATGTTTTGTACGAGAGGAAAAGACAAGCAGAGCGGAGGTGTAACTCACTCTTGCATATTTTTCAAATGATTTTCAAGATTTCCTACACAGTTCTCTCTAACTACGCTTTAGTTTGGGTACATTAGCACCACAAAACAAGTCCATTACGCAGTCGGTCACAAACACGAATTTCACGACGCGAAATATAGTGTTCGATAGAGCAGAAGCTGCTCTATTCAATGCTCTATCTGGCTTTTTACGTTTTTTACATCCTGATCTCAAAAGACTCATGGTAGCTCATGGGCTGCAGCACTTTAGCATCTCACTAAATATTACTCATGATTTGAATATCAGACTCCACTTCAATGCTTGGAGTAATGATTATGGAATCAGGCACAAACGCCAGGCCGTGACATTCGTGTTTGTGACCGATTGCGTAATGAACTTTTTTTGTGGTGCTGATGTAGCTATCGTTTCAGAAATATATAATGTTGGTATACATCTCCGTTCTGGTTGCTTTTTCTTCTCTCAAATAAAGAGTTTTAAAAACAGTCAAATCTTGTTGATAGAAGCTCTCTCTCTTTGTTTTTTTATTTCTTGGCAACTTTTATCACATAGAGAAATACATGACAGTGTAAGTAAAACCAAACAAACTAATTGAAAACTATTTTCGTTGCCCTTGTTCGGTAACTGATTCGTTTCATTAAAAAATACAATCGGTGAAATAATGGCGTGCACTTCTTGTCTTTTATTTCGCGTCCATTTTTCCTGTTCAAAAAGTGGTCGACAAATGTATCTTCTGTCCACGTGATTGAGGATATTTTCTTGTTTAGCTACCACTTTATGTAGGTTTATTATGTAAATATTGTTATAATTTCTATGTAGATCCATCAAAATATTCATAAATTTTTTAGTAAAAATAAAGTAAGAATGAATCAGTGTTTTGTCAGTGCTGTCTTAACTGATAAGAAGCAACGCATGTAATTACTTTGTGCGCAAACAGCATATTAGAGTGGTGGATTAAATTTGATTGACTCCACTATGGAATCATTAAGACTCTCAATAATCTGGCCGATTCTTCTTGTATATGCAACGAACAATCATGAATGGTTATTTTATTCCACCGGTCAGCATAGAACTACATTTGATTGTTTAACAGTTTATACTCTAGTACATTGTCGAAGACGTTTAATGAGTGATACATTCCCTAAAACTTGTTATAATTACACTTCTGGAACATTGACATTCTCCATTTTAAAGTTAAATAACATAACAGCAAAGGTATTGCCTCACCGGTTATTTCCACTTGATGTTGCTGATCGTTATGCACAATACTTGCAGAATTCAGAATTAGAATTGACCAATTTTATTTACAACTATTCACGAGGACATGTTGGTTCAATAGTGGATGGAATAGTTGTAAATAAAATTGGTCAATTCTAATTCCAGATAGAGCATTGAATAGAGCAGCTTCTGCTCTATCGAACACTATATTTCGCGTCGTGAAATTCGTGTTTGTGACCGACTGCGTAATGGACTTGTTTTGTGCAACTTAACAAATATTCACTGACAAGAATTGCAGTAGCCACAGCAAAACGGCGATCAATTTTCAGTCGTTTTAGACGAGCTGAATTACTTACACTCAATTCGTCGGCTAATTGTCGACGAATATCCCTGTCATCATCTAGATATGAACATTCGTGTGCTACTATACTTTTAACACGTTTCATGCGTATAGCTTCGTTTTAACCAGATTGTAAGAATGTGATGGTGCCGTCATACATCCAGTAGTGAGGTTGTTGCCTAAATTAGTTTTTAATTGTAACGATGCAAATTTTGATGAAGGTGTAGACTGCGACGACGACGATATTCTTGAAAATAGCCAGTGATTTTTATAAGCCGATTCATTGTTGCCACCACCGTACATAAGATAACGAATGGTACGATAAACACGAATATTTACGTAGAATAGAACAGCTAATGGGAGAAAATAGACGAAAACAAATGACAAACAAAAATACAAGATACTATTTGTTGAAGGATCGGTCCAATCAAGTCCGCAATGAAATCCGAGACCTTCGGATACGTATCGATTCCAACCGCATAGTGGCGGAACAGCCCAAATTAGTCCGAATGCCCAACAAAGTGATACAACTACATAATTATGTCGTTCCAATAGTTTCTTGATGAACGTTGTATGCATCACTGATGTATATCGGATAAAGGATAACAAGAGTAGCATATAACAATATGGAATAATATATAGGTCTAATCAGTCTGTTCATTATAAAAAATTTTATTTAGCTAATCCGCTATATCAAAATCAACCGAATGTTCCGGTGAATCTTTAAAGATATTATGAAGCACTTAAACGACAACTACCATTAGCGGAAAATGAGAGAACACAAAATCAAACGACAGAAAGCAAAGATGTATGTGTTGAGCTACAGTGTTTAAGAAGTATAGTATCACATGTTACTTTATCGATTAAGTTAAAAAGGCGTACTACTCAATTAACCGTACTTTGCCGAAGCAAAACGTTGACAGAGAGCACTCCTTTTACTTTTTCTTGCTAGTTTGTGGATAAACCGATGAGATTCTCATTCGTTTTCTTGCAGTACAATAATTTTTATTGCTTACGGATTTCTAATGTGAGAAGAGTAGATAAAATTCTTGTGTATTTGTATTAAAGTGTCAAAAATTCTTTTACGATGTACATTTTTAGATTGGAGACCAAACTTTATAGTTAGCAATATCTTTTTAGGCGGTACAGCTCAAAGTGAAAGAGGAAGGGAAATTTGAAGATTACCTGATGCAAAAGTGGGAGAAGTTGTTCTCAGATTTTCATCACAAGCAAGCGGGTATTTATTATTTCTCTTATTACTTCAGTAAAAATAGTATTCGCTATATTTTTTTAGTTATTTACATATTAACCATGTTAAAACCGCTTTAGTTAATCAGTACTATCAACAAGCATATAAAGGAAAATTAATTTTGCGTTTTGATGATATAAACCCGGCAAAAGAAAGTGCAAAATTTGAAAAAGTATAAGCAATAGATATAATTTCTTTTTTATATTGAACTTAAAAGAATACTTTTGTTTCTAACCAGGTTATATTAGAAGATTTACAAACACTTGGTGTAGAATATAGTATTTCTCACATGTCTGACCATTTGGATGCGTTAATTGATCATTGTAGTCAACTAATTGACAAAGGTAATTGTTAGTTTATTATTGTTACCCATTCGTATCTCACTAGTTTCCTTCTTTATTTAGGATTGGCTTATTGTGAAGATGCTGATCTAGGAGAAATGAAAGAGCAGTGTGATCAGAGACAAGATTCTATCAGTCGAAATAATAGTAAGACATGCTGCGGATCATGCTCATCTCTTCTCTATGAGAGAGAGCTTAACCCAGTTTGATCTGTAGAAGACATAGTTCAACATTTATTTTCTGTTTCATGTAAGGTGTTGAAAAAAATTTAAAAGTGTGGAATGATATGATTATTGGCAATGAATATGGTCAAAACTGTTGTGTTAGACTAAAAATTGATATGAATTCAAACAAAGAATATATGAGAGATCCAACAATTTATTGTTGTAAACTTGAAGAACATATTCGAACTGGTAGAAAATACAAGTATATATCGATATCAGGCTAGAATTCTTCCCTTTATCGTAAATAACATAAAACAAAGTTTATTTGTATTTTTTAGAGTTTATCCAACATATGATTTCGTTTGTCCAATTGTTGACAGTATAGAAGGAGGTATAATATGGTAGAAAAAGAGGTTTTAAGTACACTAATCATGTTAATTGAATTACACTTTTTCCGATAGTTACACATGTTATACGTGCAACAGAATATCATGATCGAACTGAGCAGTATTATCGGATATTAAATGCCCTTGGTGAGTCTTTAGACGCAAGACAAGAAGGAAATTCCGAAAGAAACATGAGAAATTAATGGAAAATCTGTTTTATGTCGGTGAAGAAGTACTAAATTTCCTTGCATCGCTATTTAGGGAATTAATCTGACTGCAGTATAGTAAAGTTCATGTCATGTTAGAAGATCTTGATCTTTATTTTGTTCGGAAGAATAGAGATCGTAAGAAGATCTTATATTATGTCTCTGCCAAAGAGGGTCTTGTAATTAGTCCAGTGTGTAAGTTGACTTTTACCACCTATTTCTGTTAATTGTTGTGGATATTCACTACTTTAATTTTATCTTTTTGTCTTCATATCGTTTACAAATATGTAAAACGATTTTTTGCATAACAAGAAACGTTCAATCTTGGATGACAAAAAGATAATTATTTGTACGTAAACAAAAACATATGCCAAAAACATGTTATAAATGTTTACAAAAAAAAAATTTTCACATATTGATTAGGCATGCATACCGTTACCGTTTTTACCGTTTTTACCGTACCTTACCGGTTAATATTTCATCTCTTAAGAAATGAAAACACTATTTCAATCTATTCTATTGACTCTTTAAGGCGATAAAATATAGAAAGAAAAGCCAACGAAGAAATAAAAAACCGTTAAAATATCGACATCAATACACTCTCTACATAATCTCACTTTCTAATAAATTTTCTTATGCATTCATAATGAACGTTAAACCGGTACGGTAACGATAAACCGGTAAATTACCCTTACCGTTTCATGCCTAATACTGATTAATGCTTTTTTGTATTTATTTTGGACTAAAAGGGTTTTATATACTTTGCTAGAGTGTCCTATCTATCATCGCATATTTCTGACTGTGGTATAAGATCTGACTCTTCCGATACAAACTAATGTTTTGGAGCTATCGGCGGACTTTCGTCTCCTCAGGTATAACCTAACATTTTAAACGCCTCTGAAACTTTATTGAACTAGACTCAAATGACTTGCGCAACTCTCTGTTATGAGAAGTTTACTATTTCCATCTTTTATTTTTTTTAACCATAATAATATTTCTTCTTCTCAAATTATTAATAACTGCTTCATCCTTACTGTATATACGTTCACATGTGTGTATATCACGTATGAGTGCAGAACAATGAACTTTTTCTAGTACATGTGACTGCATCCTTGCCCGTTGTACTTTGCATTTACAGAAATGAGAGAATTAAAGTTTTTTATTTGTGAAAATTATGAAAATCACAAGACTAAAAATTTAGGCGTCTGGATCTTATACTTCAACTTTTACATGAAACGTTCAAGGGGGATCTTCTATTAGGGAGGGTCTTCTAATGTGACAATCCTTTAGTTGAAAACTGATTTGTAGCTTTAAAAGTTTTGTTAATTGAACATGTTCTTCGTATGTATGCGTAAGCCATATATAATTGAATATAGATGTTTAAATACGCACAATACCGTATTATCTCCGTCTAAATTAACATGGTTTGTTAATGAAGGGATAGTTGACGATCTGGATGATGTACGTTTGCCATCTGTGCGCGGTATGTTGAGACGCGGAATGATGGTGGAAGGATTAAAACAGTTTATAACTTCACATTCAATTGTGCTGATGGACTGGGATAAACTTTAGGCTATCAATTACACATATATTGATCCGGTAGTACTATATTATACAGCATTAAATAAAAAAGATCTTGTTGATGTTAGAGTGACGAATGTCCAAAATGAAGAATGTCGACAACATCCCAAGCATCCTAAAGTAACGTTTTAGCAAGCTATGGACATTTAAGTATTCATTCTAAATTTTCTTTTTCTTTTTGATATTAGAATGCTAGTATTGGAAATAAAAATGTTTATTACAGTCAAAATATTTTAATTGAGCATGATGATGCAATATTATTAAATGAAAATGAAATTATTACATTAATTAATTGGGGAAATTTTAAAATTGTAAAAATCAACAAGTAAGTAAAATGGTGATTGCTGCCCTTTGTTCTTTTTGCTATTGAAAAAGTGTATTTGATTTGAAGAAAAGACATTAGTACAATTGAATCCATTGAAGCTGAAACACAACCAGACAATAAAGATTATAAGAAAACAGTAAAACTGACGTGGTTACTGTTCATCAAAAGTATGTAATACATTTTTCGTTTTGATCAGATCGTTTCTTCTTTTCTTGAACCTCAAGAGAGGTATCAGCAAATTGTAATTGTCACGAAGAAATTTGGTGAGATTTCTAACAACGGTTAAAACTCACGAGGGAACCTCCCGAGATGCCTAACTCCATTTTCAATGATTTATATGCCGACCGATAGAGCATAGTGAGCTAGTAAAAACCCCAAGAGGATTTTTCCCCATGCTGTTTCTTTCAAAAGTTTTTTGAATTTTTTTGCCCTGTAATAGCTGAAAACAGTAGAAATTCTGTAACTCAGTTAGCATAAGTGTTGAGAGGCTGAATTTTTTTGCTATAACCATGGTTAATCTCTACTATTATCAGAAAAAATTTTAGCCTTCTACTCCTATCATTTGCTATTATCCATTCAAAATAGAATGCAGTCGGTAGTTTGTTGAATAACTTGGCAACGCAGATTGCTATCGAGTTCGGGTTTTCATCGTTAGAAAGAGCAATATTGGGGGCATAAACCTACCAGGGAATGAAAAGACTTCAAAGCATATTTCTTTCTCAAAATATTGAATTTCCAAAAAACAGCCGTTTCCCTCAGACAGGTCACAAAAATCCGGTTCACTTGAAAATGCAATATCTCAAGAATGGAACATTCTTTTTGACTGAAACTTTCAGGATATTCTATGAGCTAGTAGACCTATCTATGGGCAAAATTTCAGGTCAAAATTCCCCAATTTGATCTTTCGAAAATTGGTGAAAAATTGAAGAGATTTTGTCTTGCTTCCCACGGGAAGGCCAGAAAAATCTGGAAATTTCAGAGTTTATAGAGTAGACAGTAGGCTACTATATGGCGAAATTGAAACTGAGAATACACCTACTTACCGGAACCAGTCATCGGTTTTCTAGAGAACCCCTGGAAACCCTCTAGAAAACTTTTCAACTATTTTGATTTTCAGACAGACTTATGCCCCCAACAATTCTCTTTCTAACGGTGAAAACCCGAACTCGATAGCTATCAGCGTTGCCGAATTATTCAACAAACAACCGACTGCATTCTTTTTTGAAATGGATAAAAGTTTTTTCTCTATTTCTTTTCTTCCACTTTTCTAATTTTCAACAATTGAAGAAAAGTTGCGTTATTAGAAATACAGCGTTATTAGGATAACGGCCAACTATCCCGCCGGTATAAGAGTAAAATTTGTCGGAAAGAATTTCTTGTCAGACGCATTAAAAAAGGTTTGTGTCATCGAGAAGAATAAAAATATCATTTTATAATATAAACTCAATAGCGTTTCATCTTTTGCTGGATATAAAATCTTGTTTTTTGTTCATTACTAAATTTGATCTCAATTGAAAAAATCTTGCATTTTCCATAGAACTGAAAATTTTTATAAACTAGCAAATAATAGACTGAAACTTTCTGTGAAAATAGTAGGCATTAACCATGGTTATAGTAAAAAAATTCAACCTCTAATCACTTATGCTAACTGAATTACAGAATTTCTACTATTTTCAGCCATCACAGGGCAAAAAAATGAAAAAATTCGATAACTTTTGAAAGAAACACCATAGGGAAAAATCCTTTTAGGGTTTTTACCAGCTAACTATGCTCTATCGATTGGTATATAAATCATTGAAAATGGATTTCGAAGAAATTTGAAATTCGAAGGACAAAATTGATCAAGCTGTTAAAGTATTATTGAATTTAAAAGCACAATACAAGATGCTAACTGGCATACAACTTGTTGGTGCTGGTGCTGCTCCTCCAAAGAAAGCCAAAAAGAAAACATCAACACAGCAAAGTGACAAAAAATCGGAATCTGGAGACCAAAATTCCAAAAATCCAGAATTTTTTAATGGAGTGCTGTTATTAAACCGCATCAATTTTGATGCTAAAAAAGATCAAGAAAAGAACGATTTAGATTTACCATTCTGTGCTAACTATGAACGAAAATCAGAACAAACAAAAATGTTAAATTTTTTAAATTTATTAGCTTTATTATTAAATAGAAAAGGAGAAGCAACATATGTTTTTTATCACAATATAGAAAATCAATTGTATATCAGTTGAAATTTCACAGTTACTGATCACAAGTATTTTTCTGATTTTTTTCAATGCATAAAAAATTACATCGACGCACAAAAATCCGTTGATAAAAAAAATGTTCGACAAATACTTCAATCATTAGTATTCCAATACACAGAGAAAAAAATTCTTCTTACACTTTAGAAACCAAAATATGAGCAACCTTTGAAATGTAAGCCATTCGCTTGAACGTCTTACATACACTATATTTCTGAATGCTTTTTTATCTATTTTAGATCTGGAACAACTGAAAGAAAGACAAACTGATGTTGTTAATTACATTAGTTCAAATAACATCTCGATAATGAACTTGTCAAAGATTGCGGTTGAACGTAGAGTAATGCAAAGAAATAATTTATCACAACAGAAATGTATAGAAAAGATATTTGAAACATTAGAAGAATTCATCAGTTTGATAAAGAATAAAAATAATCTTTCTGAATCAACATTGGTCGATCGTATAGAAAAACAATGCACCGTATTATATTATTATGAATTACTATTGAAATTTATTCGTGATGATAGTCCGGATCAATACAGAATAATATATCGTTTGTTAAATAAATTAAGCCACCATAATCGTTCAATATTTAAAATATTAGAATGTTCATTGACACTGGCGTTTAACACGAAATTTAAAAGTGTTCAGTATCAAATCATACCACCACATTGTCGTGTTGTCAAAAATCTCACGCCACTTAAAACAACAAACATTTGACAATAAACATAAAACAACAAACATTAAAACAATAAACATTTTGACGATTTATGTCGTAATTGTGGCTATGATACTAATTATACAGATATAAAACAACAAATTGGTCAAAAGTGTTTATCTGGTATAGAAGATGGAAAAGAAACCACAATTTTACACTCATGCTGAGCTGATAATGATGAAATTTATCAGTGGGCAACGAAATAACAACAACGTCGGAAATTTTATACTTGGCATTTCCAAACAACCATGTTATTTATGCTATTGTTACTTCGAATGGATAAATGCACATTCAGATCAGAAATTCATATTGTCAGAAAGTCATAATAAAATTTATGGATTATGGGATTTTCCAAATGGAAATGAAGAGGATATCAAAATAGTTAATGATCATCTCGGTCAATGGTACCTTCAGGTGTACCGCAAGGATCGGTTTTAGGTCCACTTCTATTTCTGCTTTTTATAAATGATCTACCAACAATTGCGTCGGCCTTCGCACTGTACAGCTTATTTGCCGACGATCTTTTTGTTGTAACTCCTTTCCTAAAATCGGATTCTGTTACTAACATTCAACACTTAATCCAACAGGAAATTGACCATATTGCTACTTGGTGTGTGAAAAACTG